AATTCTACGAAACAAAGACCCAAAAATCCCTAAATCCCTTACCACGTAGCCAGGGATCGATATAAGAAAACGCTATCATCGTCATCGAGATCAGTTCCGTCATCGCACTGCGCGACCTCGGCGGATCATCATGCTATACGAGTCTGCTTGCCTCTCCTGTTTATTCTCCTCCCGTTTGTCTTCTTCCCGTTGGTCTGCCTTCTGTTTGTATTCCTCCCTTTTTTACCCTCTTCCCTTTTCTCCTCCTTCGTTTTACCTTCCTTCCATTTATCCTCCTACCTTTTTACCTTCATCCCGTTTATCTTCCTCCCTTTTATCTTCCTCTCCTTTACCTTCCTCCCATCTACCTTCCCCCCAAAAAAAAAAAGAAAACCTGATAAGAATGCACATGAAGCTGCAGCGTTTTGTCACAATAAAGCTGCTTTGCTTGGGGCTGTCACGCCTCGGCGCTGTCTCGCGGGCTCCATTATGACCGTGTTCTGCCCGCGCTATCTGATGACGCTCGCCGCTCCTCCTGATCTTTCTTCTGCTTCTTCCTCTTCTCTTTCTTTTGATTCTTTTTCTCCTCTTTCTTCTTCTTCTTCTTCTTCTTCTTCTATTTCTCTTTCTTCTGCTTCTGCTTCTCCTTCATGTTTTTGCCTCTCTTTCTTCTTCTTTTATGTCTTTTTCTCGTTTCCTTCGTCCTTACCTTGGTCTGTTTTATTTTTGTTGTTTCATTTATTGTTTTCGTCTTCCTCTTTTTTTGTCATCTTCTCCCTAACCATTCTTCTCTCACCTCGTACTCTATTTTCTGTTTTCCCATTTTTCTTTTTCTTATTCTTTTGTCTATTCTTCCCATTCTCTTGTTCCTCATGTTTCCACTCCCCCAAAAAAATCCTTGTTTCCCCTCAGGCTCAGAAAAGCAAAAAACGACAACAAAAAAATCCTTGTTTCCCATCAGGCTCAGAAAAAGCAAAAAACAACAACAAAAAAATTAACTCAACCCAACTTTACCCATGCCCCCATCCTCCCCCTCTCTACCCCTCCCCTTACCTCCCTTCCCCTCTTTCTTAACCTTCCTGCCTTTACCCACTCCTTCCCCCTTCCCCTTTTCTGACCCTTCCCCTTTCCCCACTTCCCCATCCCCTTCCCCTTACCCCTCCTACCATCTTCCTTCCCCTCCTCCTCCCCTTCCCCTTCTTTAACCTTTCTCTTTTCCCCACATCCCCTTCCCCTTCCCTCTTCCCCTTCCCCTTCCCTTTCCCCTTCCCTTTCCCCTTACCCCTCCCCCCTTCCCCTCCAGCGCCCACAACAGGTGAAAGTTGTTATTATGTTTACAGCAGGCGAACACCCCCCCCCCCCTTAGTTTACCTGATATGCCTGCCTGTCTCGTGGTTACGACTATGCATAGCTTGTGTCTATTTACTCATTTATCTATCAGTTATCTATTTTCTCTCTTTCCTATTTCTTTAGTTCGTGCTTGTTTGTCTCCTTTTTTGTATTTTATTTTGTCTTCATTCGCGCCTATTGTTTCTTTTCTTTTTTGGTATGTTTGCTATGCCTGTTTTCTCTCTTGGTGTTTTCTTCTTCTTCCATCTTTTGCTCTCTACATTCGCGTCTTCAACCCTTTCCCTTTCCCTCTCCCTTTTTTTTTCCTTTTCTTTTTCCTTTCCCTTTCCCTCTCCCTCTCCCTCTTCCTCTCCCTTTCTCTTTCTCTTTCCTTATTCCTCTCTCTCTACCTCTACCTCTACCTCTCCCTCTACCTCTCCATCTCCCTTCCCCTCCCCCTCCCCCTTCTCCTCCCCTCCCCCTATCCCTCTCCCTCCCTCCCTCCCTCCCTCCCTCCCTCTCTCTCTCTCTCTCTCTGCTTTATATCAGTACCTATCCATCTCTACCTGCTTGCCTGCTTGCCTGCACACCTGCTCGCCTTCTGACCTCCCCTTTACCTCTTCCTGTTCCAACGCAAAATCTATCTGGCTTGTCACTTTAATGCAATAGCGACGTTGATGACGTTGATTTAGAGGCAGCGGAAATATAATTGTAGTTCTGGTTATAATGATGAGAGGTCCACCACTAGTAATAATGATGATAATATTGGTAACCATCAAAATAGAATATATGGAGAGCATGATGAAGGGGAGGAGGAGGAGGAGCAGGAAGATAGTAAGAATGATAAGATGGATAATAATAGTAGTAATAAGAAAAATAATAATAAAGATGGTGGTGATAAAAAAAATAATAACAATAATAACAATGATAGCAATAATGACAATAATAGTAACAAAATTATTATAATAAGAAGAAAACGACAGTGACGATAATGTTACCATCACTATCATTATCATCAACATTATTATTACCATTCAGATCATTACTGTTATCATAATTATCATTAGAATTATCACAATCATTATTATTAGATTAAGCTAACGCATCAACTAAAATATTTGGGGGGTGAAACAAAGATAGGGGAGAAGAGAGTGAGAGAGAGAGAGATAGATAGAGAGAGAGAGAGAGAGAGAGAGAGAGAGAGAGAGAGAGAGAGAGAGAGAGAGAGAGAGAGAGAGAGAGAGAGAGAGAGAGAGAGAGAAGGAGAGAGAGAGAGAAGAAGAAGAAGAAGAAGAAGAAGAAGAAGAGAGATAGATAGATAGATAGACAGAGAGAGAGAGAGAGAGAGAGAGAGAGAGAGAGAGAGAGAGAGAGAGAGAGAGAGAGAGAGAGAGAGAGAGAGAGAGACAGACAGACAGACAGACAGACAGACAGACAGACAGACAGACAGACAGATAGACAGACAGACAGACAGAGAAAAAGAAGAATGAAGAAAGAAAAGAGAACGAGGGGAGAGCGAAAGCGGAAACAAGAACGAAAGCGAATACAGCCATGAGATAAGGACGAGGAGGAGGAAGAGAAAGAGAGAAAGGGGGAAACGGGACAGAGAGGAGACCTACGCGTCGGGAAAAGGGGGCGCTGGGGAGAGAGAGGACCGCCCAATGCAAACTCAGGAGCCTCCACGCCTCCAGCACCTCAAGGTAAACTCCTCTGGGCTCAAATACCTGTCTTGGCTGAATATTCCTTTGCCTTCTTTGCCTCTTCCCTTTCTTTCGCGTTTGATTTGTTTATTGTTATTTGTTTGCGTTTTTTTTTCTTTTATCATCATCCGTCCCTTTTCTGCATCAATGCTATGCTATCTTCTTTTCTTCGTTGTCTCTCTGCTTCCTCTTTTAAGTATCCCTGTGCTCCCTCTATTCTTATTCGCACTTTTCTTCCTCCTCCCTTATCCCTTTCCGTTAGTCTCCTATTTCTTCCTCCTCCTCCTCCTCCCTTCCTATCTTAACACAACCAAGAAGAATAGAAGAAGAATAGCAATAATTGCAGCGTAGTAGTAAAAGTAGTAGTGAATGGCTATGCAGCAGGCTAAGTAGTCAAGGAAGGAATGTAGGAGGGTAGGTGGACAAGCAGGAGCGCAGTGCCATGAGCAGTGCACATTCCTGAGGGCAAGTGCCTAAGGTGCCATGGCCAAAGAAGGAGGTGCCATCCTTGGAGATCCCTAACAAGGGCCGGATGAAGTTCGTGGCACTACTAGAGGGCTTTCTCAAGAATGTCAGCCTTGGTCTCTCTCTCTCTCTCTCTCTCTCTCTCTCTCTCTCTCTCTCTCTCTCTCTCTCTCTCTCTCTCTCTCTCTCTCTCTCTCTCTCTCTCTCTCTTCCCCTCAGGCATCGAACTGAAAAAACACCATAAACGTTATCCAGTATTGATGCTTGCGAGGGGCGTCAACAAGTATGATTGATGTTTTAGTGTTTGAACAGACGGCATCATGTCCTTGCGAAGTAGGGCGTGAAGGAAGGGGGTGAGGGGGGCAAGGGGGCGTTCTTTGCCTGGGGGTGAAGAGCGGAGAGAGAGAGAGAGAGAGAGAGAGAGAGAGAGAGAGAGAGAGAGGGGGGGGGTCAGGGAAGGCAGAAAAAAGGAATAATAGGGAATGGTATCCCTTTTGAATCATGAACTCACGACACAATACTTTTCTTCTGATGACGCATTCTTCCCAAGTATTAGCTATTAATTTTTACTTCCTCGTAATAATTCATCGTAACCCGACAAATAAGGATTTTCTAGCGAGGATTTTATGAGATTTAAAATTACCGTCCTGCATCAGATTTATTATTCTTTTTTTTGCGTATTTAGATTCATCTTATTTGTGTCCATGTTTTCTTAAAGTTTCACATCACTGTTGTTTGCATTCTTCTCTATAATTAAGTAAATTACACACGCTGCTACATGTAAATAATTATAACCATTTGTACATACATATTCATTACACACACACACACACACACACACACACATATAATATACATACATACATATATATATATATATATATATATATATATATATATATATATATATATATATATATATATATATATATACATATATATACAAGCGCACACACTCACACACACACACACACACACACGCACACACACACATACACACACAGATATATACATATATATATATATATATATATATATATATATATATATATATATATATATATATATATATATATATATATATATATACACACACACACATATATATACAAGCACACACTCACACACACACACACACAGATATATACATATATATATATATATATATATATATATATATGTATATATATATATATATATATATATATATATATATATATATATATATATATATATATATATATATATATATATACATACATATACATATACACACACACATATATATATACCTATATATATACACGCACATTATATATATATATATATATATATATATATATATATATATATATATATATATATATATATATGTATGTATGTATGTATGCGTGTATATACACTTAAATGTGTGTGAAAAAAACTGACGTTCATATGTCAAAATAGACGCAAACCTTCCCCAAACAGACATTAATGCACACGCTGCCTCTAATGAGCAAACCTAGCCAAGACATCGGAGAGCCTTAC